AACATCTTTAAAATGTGGTTGTCTTGCACATAGCATGATTACAGGAGGCTTGCTCAACTGTTATTGAAGCACAGAGCACAAAGGGGCGGAGCTTAGGAAGGGTCAATAACTGTTTCTCTATGATAACATAGCATTGTTGCTGCATTCAGGTGATAATTCTCTGTAGAGAGAAAAATATTTTTTTAGAAAAAGAAATCGATTACAGCTGCTTTAAGATGCATTAATAATAGCTCTGCCTGTCCAACTGCAGCATAGAGACAGATTACTTACTTGATCCTACACCACGAATCAAAGATGAGATGAACAGAGCAATTAAGGTCAAAACAGGAAGCATCATCGTATTTAATGCTTTTTGTTAGCTTCTATTATTTCCCATAACCTCCTCCCATGTTTGATTTCCTGCGTGGTTCAAATAAGCTTGAACTTGGTCTTTTAATAAGTTTCCCAAATCTAATACGTGCTATCAATCAGCTCCAACATGTATTGTAAATTCCCTTTTCATCTGAGCTGTGCCTATTACTGTAGCTTCCATACAGTAGATCTCCATATCTGTCTATGGGAAAGTAGAGATCCATGTATCTTTGTAGGGAGCTGTAGTAAGCAGCTGACCAGGATGAGATAGTGTTTGGCTGGTTTTTGCGGCTTGGCTGGCCTTTTGCCTTAGAAAGCACTTCTAAGCAATTCCCAAACAGCACAAATCCTCCCCAAACCCTGGGACCTTAGTGAATGTGCGTGTGTGGGTGTCCTTGTGTCGATGTGTATGAGTCTGTGTGTAAGGGGTTGAAGGGATTACGGTGGAGCTTTCACACTCAGCGGACAGAGGGATGGATCTGCTTCCTCCGTGGCCCCTCCAATCCCTGACCACAGCCCAGGGATCAGCGGGTTGCTCAGCCACACTGAATCCATAGCTTTAAACTCCCCCTCTACTGGACCGAAGTCTTTTGAACCCCTGACCTTTACTGTTCTTTCCCTTTCCCTCTCGCTCATCTTTTTCAACCCTTTTAGTGCATTTCACCAGCATTTCTGTTCCTCCCCTCTTGTATCTCAGAGGTAGGCTTTTGATGTGTGAAATCAGCCAGGGAGCAGGTTAAAGAGCAACAATTTTAACTGATATAATGGAAAATGAACTGAATTTACTCAGTGGGGCGAGACTTGAATTGAAAAGTCAATATTTAAGTGTGTTGTTAGTGTTGAGGTTAGGCTTGTGAGGGAAACACTCTTCCATCCTCTAGGAACGATTACTGAGATGCCTCTGAGAAAAATCACTTAAAGGAAAAGTTTATTCAGAAATGAAAATTGAATTTTTATTTTTGTGAGGTTAAACACCAGCAGTGTTTCCTTGATCACAATACACTTAGTGAGTTAGCTAATGCAGCTGTGTCGACCAACTAACCAGGAACTGTGTCTTTATATTTCCAAAAAATTAACATCAGTCCAAACACCTTGTGAGGGATAATCTGTTTGTTTTAATGCATCATATGTTCAAGTAAAATCCATCCATAGTTTCTCCCAAATTTATCTCAACAGCCCACATTAGCAAATTGTTGCTGCCTTCACAGTACCTTCAGAAGAAGTATAAATACTGAGAGAGAGTCATCAAGAAAACTAGTGTCACGGTCCAGGGACACACTTTTTGTACTGTAAAACGTACATTTTGATCACTACAATACTCACATCCTGATTGGACATCTCCCAGTATGGCCGCTCCCCGTATGACATCACTTCCCACATGACGATGCCGTAACTCCACGCGTCACTGGCCGAGGTGAACTTCCTGTATGAGATGGCCTCAGGAGCAGTCCATCGGATGGGGATCTTACCGCCCTGCTCACACACAAAGTATAGAATAAAGACAACACTCATGGATAGACTCTGTATACATATGTATCTGTATACTGAGTAAAATCCTGAAAACAGACAGGTAAACCTTCCTCAGTGACATTGATGAAAATGTTTATTATGTACAGCATTTGGTAAAAATCAAAGTACATTTCAGCATCTCAGCAGCCTCAACTCCGCAAACATTACTTTCCTGCAGAGTTGCGACTGAAGAAAGAAATTGTTGAAGCTCAAAAGCATGCTGAGACATTTTAAAACACTTAATAATATTTCAGAAAAACTGCTGTCCATGTGCTCTCATATTCTGGATCCTAAAAAACAGACTTTAACACAATTTCTGTGTTTATCACCTACAATTTTCACCTCACCTCACCTCTCCTCACCTCAACCTTCACTTCCCTTCTGTGGATTTCAACCACCGTCTTGTGCAGCAGAAAGCTAAACTTGGAACCATAAACACAGCATTTCCTTCGCACAATAACCTCAATACAAACCAGGAAATGGAGGTCACCGCGGGCTCAGACAGATTTACGGAACAGCGTCTTTTCAGCACAAAAGTTTTTTTGAAGTTTCGCTTTTGCTCTCCAAGGCTACTCCATCTTTCGCTGGCCTTAGGAGAAATTTCATCAGCCTAATCAAAGAGGAGTAGAGCGATGCATCAGTTTGCTGATGTCTCTAGCAAATAGCACCAGTCTGTAAATACAATCTTTGAATGAAATTTAAGTTTACTGAATCCCAAATGCCTTCCCAAACTTTCCTCACAGACAAGACTTACATATGCAGGAAACAATGAACTTGATTTTGAGAATACAAATAAAATAAAACAACAGCAGGTATGTTGTAAGAAAATAAAAGTTAAGGCCATACGATCCCCGGCTCTTATTTTTGATATGCAGAGATACAGGAAGGATCAGCCACACAACAGCTGGTAGGGAGTGTCTCGTAAACTCTCAGTACATCTCTGTAAATTGAGTTGCTGTTTGCTTGGTCTCTATTCCGGCGCCTTTCATACTTCAAAACTTCCAACTTCCAATTTCTAATGAGGTTCTCTCACAAAGCCAGGAACAGACGTCAGCCAACTCGCAGTGAATATCACTGAACTAAGGAAAACATTTTTATTCTTGTTGTTGCTGTTTTGGTGCTGTAAATAATAATAAAGCTGTCATGTGTATTGCTTTATAAATCAATGTATTGTTCTGATATCATATCTGCATTATTAGTATGAGAGCTAGATCATATGCTATAACGAGAGACAGTCTAACAAGCACCACATTAAATATTTTACTATCTTTGCTAAAGTCCATCGTAGTAGATTATATCTCAGGCTTAGAAAATCCCTTCAGATGCCTTTTTTCAAGTGACTGAAATCCCTTGAACATTTCTTACCAAGCAGGGAAATACACAGAAACAAAGCCAAGCCTGGCTGTTTTTCAGACGAATCCATTGTTTTTCTGTTTACAGGGACTAAATTGATAGTGCCCTGTGTGTCTGTTGTGCGGAGAGACCAATGCATGACCAATGCCAACATGTGATTTGCCAAATATTGTATTTGGGTTGAAAAGCATCCCTGTCTTCTACCCCTGAATCCCCAATCAAAAGTTTTTTAGTTAAACAAGTTAAACATGAGTCAAGAGGTCCCCCAGTGACAAAATATGCATGTTATACCAAAATAATAAATTAGTTTGGAGCCTTTACTATAAGGATGTATTTCCTTGTTGTGTGGATTAACTCAGCTTTGTTAAACCTGCAATAAATTAGTAGCTTTAGAGGGTTGTGTCAGGTATACCGTTGTGGTGTAAGCAGCCTCCGGGTCGTCCTCCAGGACTCGGGACAGGCCGAAGTCTGACACTTTACACACCAGATTACTGTTGACCAGGATGTTTCGAGCTGCCAGGTCTCTGTGAACGTAGCCCATGTCTGACAGATACTTCATGCCCGAGGCGATGCCACGTAGCATGCCAACCAACTGGATGACAGTAAAGTGACCATCATGTTGCTGACAGGGGAAAGAAGCATACAGTTAAAAATTAACTGACAGAGAAGGGGTCATTACGAAAACCAGAGACAGCGCCGACAACGAGAGAGAAAGGGAGGGCCGATAAACATAGATAGTAAAAACAAAAATACAAAACATAACGGTTTGTATGGAGCAACAGAATAGTTTGTTCAGAATTATGCTGACATGTCATTGACAGGACAATATGCTACAGAAAATATGATTTCCATTTTAGCTTCTGCCTGTTTTTCTTACAATTTAAAAAATATATTTTAATAATCTTGTTATCTGCCTGCAAAAATGAAAAACAAAGACATGCAAAGGTAATGCTGTTTTTAGACCTACAGTAGATATGTTATAGCTTTGTCTTTATTTCCCACAAGAATAACCACCTGAAGCCAGAAAAAGATATAAACATACATAGTTCTCTGATCACTCACCCTCAAAAATGAGTCCAGCGATCCATTTTCCATGTACTCCACCACAATCATCACAGGCCTGCCTGCAGACACACAACACAAAACACACTCCTTATTTCTCCAAAGATTATTTCTCTGCTATTACTGATTCGTTTACTATTAAGGACAATCTAAAGTGGAGGGTAAAAGAAAAGGCAGAAGATACCTGAGCCACTTACGTAGGCTGAATGAAGACTGTGAAGTGCAGTTAAAAACTCATAAACTAGTAAGTGGATCTTTGTTTGTGCTCAGAGTCTCTTACATATTTGAAAGCAAATACTGAGGTTGTGTTAAAATTCAATATATTTAAATTCCACCTTTAGAATTTACACCATTACTTGTCAATGAAACCTCCACATACTAATGCTACATTCCTAGTTATTATTGACACTAAAACAACTGGTGACATTGGACAACATTAATGATCGCATGTGTGGACAATCCAATAATGTAATCCAGTAATAAACTCAGTTTAAGGGCTCTTGTTAAAAACAGTGTTAAACTGCAATTATATAGATGTGGCGGATGCTGAATAAATTTGAGGTGATTTTTAACAAAAAGGACACTAATATGCAAAATTTTAAATTTAATTTGTATGTAAGCATCTAAACTTGCTTGTGTACACAATTATTATTGGACAACAAGGAGCAAAGACTGGTCTGCATGTCATCAAGCTATTAGTTAGGGAACACAAATCCAAAATGATTCTCTGATTAGTTAAGATTATATTCAGAGTTGTGTAGGTGACACATTATGTTCGGGTAAACAGACAGAATCACACTGTGTCGGCCTATATTTGTGTGTGTGTGTGTGTGTGTGCTAGTCTGAGACGGAGAAAAGGAAAGAGGGGGCAGAGGGAAACACACAGACCATCAGCAGTTGATTGATGCATCGAGTCAAGATGCTCAATTCATAAAACTTTTCTGTCTCAACACCTGCCAAATAGGACCTGCTCAGCATTCAGATCATGTATGACATAAAACTTTAGTTAGAAACAGGTGCAAGCGCAAGTTCTCTCTCCAAATGTTATTGTTTCCCCACAGAGGATCAGAGGATCCCTGCAGTGTTTCAGATTGACTGGTTTACAGCTGGGAGGCAGTTGTCCAGGCCTGAGTGCCTGTGAGCTGTAAACCATTCTGAACTGCTGAAAACAGAAATAAAAGTGTTATAGTGGTGAAGTAACACCATGTTATCACACTTCAAGACTCAAGACACCTTTTTTGCTCATGAAAATGTGAAAAATCACATGACATAGTATCAAGATACATGTAACAGTAACAGTGTCACTTTATAGAGTAAAGTATTCGAATTGCCAGTATTTCCACTGTTAAATAGTTCAGATTGTGCAACAACAGTGTACTCGATCTTTGTTACTGAAATTAAAGGACAATGAGACATCTGTAACTACAACTTCATCCCCTCAAAAACATGTATTTGATCATTTCTTCAACAGGCAGACAACAGTGGTTAGTGGTGTTATTGTATTTAAGGGACTCAAAATCTTAGAAAGAGATTAGAGAGACAGGAGACAGCAGGTGAGACAGACTGACGCCGGCAAGGATACTGTCATGGTCATATTATGTGTTTTCAACTAAATGAATGAGTAAAGTAAAATAAACGAAACTATTTTAATTTTGTGTTATATGTTATGCAGATTCACAAAAGGCAGTTTGATTGACTACAAATACACTTTGCAGTCTCATTCACTGCACTGGGGACAGTCCCAGATCCAATTTTCAATTCAATGTTATTTGTATAGCACCAAATCATAACATAAGTTATCTCAGGACACTTTTCATATAGAGCAGCTCCAAACCGATTCTCTGTATAAACCTATTTACAGAGACCCAACAATTCTCACCATGAGCAAGCACTTGGCAACAGTTGCAAGGAAGAACTTCCTTTTAAGAGACAGAAACTGGCTGTTGGTGGGCGGCCGTCTGCCTCGACCAGCTGGGATTAGAGGGGAAGAGAGAGAGACAGAGATGCACAAAGATGCATGCTTACGAATGAGAAAGGGAAGCTGCTGCATGCTGCTCTTTATCAGAGGTGGGGAATTTAACCAGATGTATTTTCCAAAGCACTTAGTCCTCAAAGGTGAGATTCAAGCTTCAGTAAAACTATTTTTTATTTTGATGATAGGAATGATTTAAAGATGAGAACCAAGTGGTTGGTTTGGCAGTAGCTTTAATAATACCTTCAACACCTTTGACAAAGGGCGGGTAAAACCACTTTTTTCTCGCAGTTTTTTAATGGGAAGCATCTGCAACTGTCTAAAATGCAACATAATTATAAAAAAAGATGGTTTGATTATTTATTTATTGGGAGGGACTATTTTTACATTTCTCTCTTGCAGTTAAGAACAGATATAATATGAACAGAATACTTCACTGTGTTAACATGACAGCTTCAATATATTTACATTTTAAATAATCAAAGTTACCGGTGTATTGATACTAAACCTCCTGTCACCAGAAAAAAGAAGGCACAGTGGGTATATGGATGGATGAGCAGAGCCTTACTTACTTTAGACCAAATATGCACATTTTTAATCAGTAAAATCCCAACATCATACATTTAATTTGCAGACACTTTCCCCCCAGCACCAATGCAGCAGGGATAGACATGAAATGATTTGTTCAAGCTTGGCTTTCCTGAGCTAATTACCAAGGTCCGTGAACAATATATAGTTATGCAGTGCAGCGCCTGAACTAAAACAAACGCACCTGTTAACAGAATCTAATGCGTCACCTGTTATTTCAGAGCAGGTATAGCAGTCAGTCACAGCACAATACTCTTCATAATTAGTCTCTGAAGAACAACAACAGATGTAGGAAGTGAATGAAGGAGAGAGAGAGAGAGAGAGTGAAAGACAAACAGACAGGCAGGCAGTTAATGTCTCTCTATATATGATTCCAAAATGGCTTTTGATTGCGTGATTTGGTGTGTATTATATGTGTGTGTGTGTCATGGGAATTGGTTTGCTCTGATACCTTCCTTTCTAATTAAATGCAGATGACTAAGAACCTGGTAAACCTGGTTATTTCTTATGTTAGATTCAATTCATTTTACTGAACATGCTTTTATGCTTTTATATTTCATTTGATACTTAATAGTGAAAACAAGAAGTTCCACATTGAAATATTAGTATAATAAAACACTGTGGCAACAACGCTGTGTATTTTCTGACTCTCAACACATTGATAGTCATTAATGTGCTGTAAGTAACACTGTAACATACTTAGAACTCAAAGTCCATTTACTAACTTTTTCTGGCGCTTTCAATTGCATCCAATGGAAGACCATGAGACAAAAAAGTAAGTACTGTTTCCAATTTATAAAACTAACTTTCGCACACGACTTGAGAAGTGACACTGAGAGAGTTCAAGAGGTTATGATATTGTAGTTAATAGTTAAATAGAATAAAAAAAAAATTAAAACGTGAAGAAATCTACAAAAAGGGGAAAGATACAAGATTTTGACTGTGGGGTGATATCAACAGCTGTGAAAAAGCTGTTATTCAGAAATAACAGACCTCTGAATGTCTATTCAATGCAGCCAGCCATCGTTGTTGACCTTCTATGTGGTTTTTTTCCAATGTTTTTTATTCTTTTTTATCATCAGATGTCTTACCAGAAAAATCATCTCAGTGTTGTGAGGGAGGATTCTGTCACTAAATAGCTTCAGAGATGGTAAATACTAGAGTTAAATCTATCAAAATATCAGCAATCAGCCGCTTTAATGCAATAATGGTCTTTAAAGACCCTTATCAGTTGAATCTTTGTCAGCAGGGTCAAAGCTGAGGAGTGTCCTCTATCTACATTCAGGGATGGGAACGTAAAGTCTTCAGGGGACACATTTATATTCACTGCGATGTCTCAGTTTATACACCCCCTGTAAAAGCAACCATATGCTGCACCGGGTGAGCCCCGTAAAACAGAGCTCGTTAACACATCCACACACACACAGACAGACACAC